GTCTAGGCCTACTACTAGTAGTTCTAGAAGAAGTATCTCCATGCACTGCAGATCTAGTAGATCTAAACTCGAATCGAATAGAAATCATAGACTGCCAGATGATTCAGACTCACACAGACACAGTACACAATTACAAAGGCATAAAAATAAACAATGACGATTCCACTTTGTCTAAATTTATCGACCAAATGCAACCAGCACTATGGTCTCTTTGAAGTAACGAGAGAAGGGGGAAAAAGTAAAAATGCACTGCTATTGATTATCGGATTTTTCATGTGTAATTTATATTAGATTATAAAGGCGTCTTATTGTCCATAAAATATTATTATCTATATAATATTCATTATGACAGGAATTATTATACTGTAGCTCAGGGGCGGATCCAGCCGACGGCAGGAGGGGGAGCCCAATTCATGATGGGGGGGGGGGGGGGGGGGTTAAGAGCACATTTTTGTTTGTGTGTGAGGGGGGGGGGACCAGTTTTTTTATGCAAAATTCAGCGGCGACTCAGCCGGCCGGTGAATAAGGGGGGGGGGGGGTGGGGGTGTTAAGAGAACATATACAAGCAAAATATACATATTGTTTTGTCGGGGGGCCGCTTTTGTTTTTTGTTTTAAAAAGGCTAAATTTACGTTAATATCCTATTTTTTACCGTTTTGGGGGGCTAGGGGGGCCGGGCCGGAAAAATCGCTACGTGGATCCACCCCTGCTGTAGCTAGTGATTCCATTCTAAAGTGGTGCCATTCTAGGGTTCGCATCCGACTCATCTCTATTTTTTGTTCTCCATAGACTAGAGATCAGTGGTTTCGCATATAGGTTTACCAGACTCGATTAATTGAATCGGTTTCCCTACTCGCAGGTAATGTAATTCTACTCCCATTTTTCTCTCTCTCTCTCTCTCTCTCTCTCTCTCTCTCTCTCTCTTCACTCAAAATACAAAATAAGAAAACAGCAGACTCAGAAATATCATGAAATCTACGTTTATTAAATAAAATTTGAAATCATGATATCTGAAAGTCGATGTAACAGGCTTATAGCCCACTGATACTTAGAACATCATTGGTTCTCCTAAGGTACAAAGCATAAATGGCCTAATATCGTTACTTGTAGGAAATAGAGATATTATATGTTTTAATATTCATCACCTTTTTTTTCCTTCTTCAATTCAAAGTTTATTTCAAATCAAAAAGTAATAGATAAATTAAAACGGTAACAGCACGATCTAGCATTTAAGGTCGAAAAATCAACTCGGGGAAAATTTGAACACTAGTATCCTATTGTATGTCCCATTAATGTTTGGATTAAGTAATACGTAATTGTAATGTTCACCAGGCGCGTACGCAGGATTTTTTCAAGAAGGGGGTTTTTAACATTTTCAAATCGGGCCGAAAATTTCGCAACGACTTGGCCAGCCGCTGAATAAGCGGGGGGGGGGGGGGGGGGGGGGGGGGGGGGAGGACACTTTTTTTTTGCTCCCCCAAAAATCACAACGACTCAGCCAGCCGCTGAATAAGCGGAGAAGGGAAGGGGGGGGGGGGGTAAGAGGACACTGTTATTTTTTTTTTTTGATCTCTTAAAAATCGCAACGGCTCAATTAGCCGTTGAATAAGCGGGGGGGTGGGGGGGGGGGGGGTAAGAGGACACCTTTTTTTTTTTTTTTTGGTCTCGAAATTTGACATTTTGCTCCGTTGGGGGGGGGGGGTAAGGTCACCTTTTTTAGGTCAGCCATTGGTATTATTATTATTTTTTTTACTTTTTTTTTATAATAAAAAACAAAAACAAAAATAACAAAAACAAAGGGGGGGGGTCCTCAAAAAATATACACATACAAAATACCAAAGGGAGGGTTTAACCCCCACCCCCCCCCCCCACCTGCGTACGCGCCTGATGTTCACTCATGTTCAAGGGTGATGTACAGGGCTATTGATATTATACCATAGATTGTTTTTTTCGAAAGTATTTGCGATCTTGTTTTAACAAAGATACTTGCATATGAAAATCGGACTTGTATTGTATACCAATCACACTTCCACCCTTTATTATTACCGCTTCAACTTTTTTGTCATCTTAAAGATATCTATGTCCTGCGAGGTCGGAGGCACCTCCAAGTAATTCCTGCCGGTGGGAGGGGGGGGGGGGGTCTGGAAGGCTCAGTAAAGGTCAAGCCCATAGAGAATTGCTTGCAGGTCCCCCCCCCCCCCCCTTTCACTCTCTCTCTCTTTTATGCGCTCTCGCTCTTAACTGTATCCGGTTTTTTTCTCCATGCAATCTAACAAGGGATCACAAACAAATGTATACTTTAGTATGTTTAATTATTGTTTTAATTCAGAAGAAGAACAATGTGTATATAGTCCCATCAAAATTATACTTTACGAATCGAAATGGAAAGATCTCTCTTTCGAAAAACAAACCCGAAATCACTGGTCCCTTTAAATGAATTAGGCATATCGTATTACACAAACATAATTATTATGGTAGACAACATACATCATTTAACATAATATAGTTAAATAAAAGATATTTTATTTAGGACCAACTATCCCCCCCCCCCCCCCCGCCCACAACGAACAAAATGACTAAACAATAGAAATGGTAAGCCCTCTTGCGATGCCGTTTGGACATGATTTTGTTGTAAGGGGGAAATGTAGAAGCCAGCATGGATGGGGGGGGGGGGCAGGGGATTAATACTCTCTACACAGAGACGAGGCTCTGATCTGGAAGCGTTGGTAGTAAAGCCAGTATAGCCAAACTATACTCCTAAATAGTAAAACTTAAAAGAGCATATTGTGCGACAAAAATTGATGTAATGAAACTTGAGAAAAAAATTATACATGATTTTTCTTTCGGGGGGGGGCGGGGTTGTTGTTTTAGCACAAGACCCTACATGGCTACACCACTGCCTATGTTCAGCATTGGACACACCCATGAGTGTGAAAGCCTTATCTCAGTAAAATCCCCAAAGCTCTATTTTATTTTCATTACCCATATTTTATTTATCTCAAGAAAGGTACCTCCGGGAGCAAAATTTAATAAAGTGAAGTTGGGTATTCTTCAATCATTAGACTCACCCAAGTTGATAGGTTTTTTGTTAGCAGTAGTGTAAAGGATTTAGAATATATTTTCAGTACTTCGTATTTTACACCCAAAAAAAATGATGGCTTGATACGCAAATTATATAGGTACTTAATTACAAGCTAACGTTTTCATATTTTTAACAAAAACGTACAATAATTTACAAAAGCCACGTATCCTTATACTTTTTTAATGACATAAAGATTTTAAAAAAACGGCGTGTATTGTAAAATGAACATCTTTATTTAAAGGAAATGAGTCGGACGGTGTTGATAGATGAGTAAGGTTGACTCTTGTCGACCACTTTATAATCTGCTCCCCAATACTCCTCGGCTAAGACTTTAATATTACATCGCCCTCCTGTATAAGAGAGGAGGGGAGGTAAGATTGTGAGAGGGGGAAAAGGGGGAGGAGTGAGAGAGGGGGTTGAGAGAGAATCATAGCGAGAGAGAGAGAGAGAGAGAGAGGGAGAGAGAGAGAGAGAGAGGGGGAGAGAGAGAGAGAGAGAGAGGGAGAGAGGGTGTAGAAAGGGGGAGAGAGGGGAGGGACAAATGGAGGGAGGAGAGAAAAGAGAGATGGGGTGTAAAGTGATACTCTCAATAATAATTATTATAGTAATCAACACAATCGTAGCTTGTACAAAATGAAATGAGTTTTATATTTCCTTATTATATTAAATTATACTTCCTGTTGTCACTAGAGGCACATTTTTCATGACCGCTATATAAACGGACAAGGAATGAAACACAATCATGAATGGAACCAAATACATTTTGACACTGTGGACTACCAACCATCACGGGGGCACATGATCCCGCCCCTATCCCCACTTCCATCTGTCCCCCCCCCCCCCCTCCCCTTGCTCATTTCCAATGTATATGATATATTGTGGCCCATACTAACAGACCTAAATGTATTATTTTGACGAAGAGTATAACTATATAATCATGATCGGCAAGAGTATTTTATGCATGGAGAACATTGTAATAATATGCAAATTTCGTGATTATTCTTACTTTTTATCGCCTGTTCTGTAATCATTCTAAGTACAGTGAACTACTTTGTTGGCCTATCAAGCTCTTAGTGAGAGCCTGCTGTTACAGCACATTTCGTAAAATGTTTGATGACGCTGTTAATAATATTGTTCATAATTATTTTGCAACTTATATTAAAAAACATGATAATAATGATAAAACATACAGAATAATACATTTAAAAAGGAGAGTTGAACAAACCATAAAGCCGATCGAAGTCAGCTGCATTGACGGAATGAGGAGTGTGTTCTTCACTCAGTCCTCCATGATGATCATGATGATGGTGATCATCTTCTCTGCTTCACCGTGCGACGTCGTATGAGACGAGCCGTGGTCGATGACTTCGAAGGTTTCAGCGAGTATTTTACCATCAGGTTTCAGAACGGACAAGAGGATGTCACCATACCTTGTTAAAAAGAAATAACATGTCTGAATAAGAAAATATGCTAGCATGATGTACTATAGCCGGGGGGCTCGGGGCTGCAGCCCCCCCCCCCCCCCCCCCCCCCACTGAATTTGTAAAGTTCTGAAAATTCGTACAACCACCATTTCAAATCCCGGCAGCGAGATGCCCGAATGACCTCTATTTTGGGCAGCGAAGTGGCCATCATTCGGGCCGAGGTTTGCCTGAAAATCCCATTATTTTGGGCAGCGATATTACCGAGTGGTTTCATAGTCGGGTACAGCGAGTGGCCGAATATGTCATTTCTGTAATTTTCCCTATGAAAAAGTTTTTTTTATTTTTTATTTTACCGACATTTTCATAAATTACAAGAAATTTATCTTGGTTTCTTTTATACATAATTATAGGCCTATATTGGTATATCACGGACAATCCGTCAGTTTGTTGAGTTTATGAAATGTATTGGTCTCTTGGTGTATTAGGTTCTTGGTGTATTATAATATATTTTTAGTATTAAAATAAATAAAAGTATAAAGTATAAACACTCATATTCCCAACGAAGTTGTACCCCTACCTTGGTCGTTCATGATGGTCGATATCTTGCATAGAACCTCTCTCCCATATAGCATCTACTGGTCCTCCGATTAGATCTCTAGAGGATTATGTTATAGTTTGATCTTAATTAAGGGTATCTTCTTTAATCTTATTTGTTTACAGACCGTGATCATTGTTGAAGTCTATACTGATCGACTACCACAAACAGCCAGATCTTATTCATGACACGGTCTCCCTTAAGTTTGACGATATTCCTGACTTTGGGACCTATGACGTATTCAATTATCTAGACTAGTAGAGAATATGGCGGACCATGCATTTATGATCGTCGAAAATTGAAGGCTTTTAAGAGTTTTGAAGACTTTCGATTAATATTTTCAAATGGCAATATGCATGTGGAGAAGCTCGAGTACAATCCCCCTCTAGGTAGCTCTCGGCAGCTCAATAATTAAGGATCACAATAACATCTTTGTTTAAATCATTATGCAGTCACTTGTGCAAACAGAAACGTAATTAAAGGCCTGGTGACATGGCCTGTCTTTGCTCTCGCTTATAGATTTTTATTGATACACAAAAGTCAAGCTCAAGCATGGTGATAGGGATGATAGGGTAGAAAGTGTTGATTTTTTTTGTACGACTGTGCCTAGTGTTTTACAAGTGCATGTTAATCGTGTTCTTTTCACAGCAATGGACATTATGCCATTTTTTAAAAATAATTATGAAGAATTCAGATGACAATTTCTGACTCACCGTGTGACGTCAAATATGTTGCACTTGAAGATCTTGATACGTTTATCATCATTCTGCAAAAATCAAATGGATTGGTATACTTTGGGCAAATAAAAATAGCCCTCTTTATATACTTCTCGTAATAACACTTTGGTGATTCCAATCTAGAAAGTAGAATCCCCGTGTACTCGTGGGGTATGTTGTCTCGATTTCTGGTTGCATCACAAACTAAAATTCCTACTAAATTCAACAAAGTTTTCACTGCATCACAAACTAAAATTCCTACTAAATTCAACAAAGTTTTCACTGCATCACAAACTAAATTCCTACTAAATTCAACAAAGTTTTTCACTGCATGCTAACAATTATTGCAAATAAATTGTAATTGTCATTCGGAAATATTACAAAACACGAACTTTTAATATCTCAACAACGATTGCAAAATAAGATAAAATTATGAAGTAATGATCATATTCTATTTTTTTCTTCTATATTTCATTTACCTGATACAAGCATCCATACTTTAGCTGTGGTATATCTGATTTCGTGTAGTTCATACCACGCGAATTGAAGAATTTCTCGATGGCTTTTCCGACCAGTTCCACACCAATTACCTCGTCCCCACGATCATATAACCTGGCAAGAAATAAAGCAAGGAATTCTTATTTTTTGAAATGTTTTGATGATTGCGACCCATACATTCCAGCGTATATATTTTCTGATGAATAATGGGGTGGGCGGACTAATTTTGTTATTGTTAGTTTCATTATGTTTTTATCGTCGTTTTGTTTTGTTTTGTTTTGTTTTGTTTTTGTTTAATCAAAACTCACGATAGTACTTTTCTGTGCTATTGGTCGTTATCGTTTATATAGAATTCAAGACAACCATTGTACGAAAACAATCCCAGACTTAAATTGGGAGTGTACTTATTGAAAGTGCCGTGCACTACTTGATGTCCATGTTAAAAATATAGTCCATGTTAATGGTCTGACCCTCTTTTGATTCCCTTTTTCTTCTCCCAAAATGATATGATAACAATAATATGGATATTTATATCACGCCGGTATCCGCCAGGCTCTGACGCTCATGGCGCTGTACATATTAATCACAAAAATATAACTTTCTTAACAAAAATAAAGTAAACTAAAACAACACAAATTATTACGCTACATTGACATGATTAAATAGCACTGTTTAGAAAGACATGGGTTTTTAGAGCAACTTTGAAGTTATGAAGGGTAGTTAAATTACGAATAATCAGTGGCAGCTTATTCCAAAGGGACGGACCAGAATCAGAAAATGCTCTATCCCCCCAGGAACTGCGCGTCTTATTACAAATCAAATCACTTTAACATAAAACTACAGTATTGAAATCCAGGGGGCATTTCCCAAAGCCTTTTTTCAATGACAAATAACAAAATTCAATGACAAATCTGCTGATAACCAATCAGAAGCAAGGATTTCAGTAGCTTATAACACAAATTGTCATTTGTCCCTGATGACAAGTTTTGTGAAACGCCCCCCCCCCCCCCCAGTTCTTACCATTTTATTGCAGGTGATTTTTCGCAGAGAGGGACAAACCATTTCAGATTGGTCTTCCCTCCCGTAGCATCATCTAAACATCGCTCCAACCATCTATGATAAAATAAATATAGAAGACATTGATTTCCTCATCGGTTAACATTATAAAAGCAGTCATAATCCCTAGGTTTCGTGAGTAGTTGGGAGTGGAATCCATTTTCAAAATATGAATTCTACCCTCCAAAGAGTAACTTCAGAGTACTATTATTGAGTGTAATTAATGCAACTCCAAAGAAAGTGTTCATGTTCCCGCGTGCCTCCCTTTTGGCTGCCGCCTCCCTTTATATTACTATTTACTATTCAGAAAAAGGGATTTTTTTTTCTTTTCTTTCTGTGATATACATTTTGTTTAAATAGCTTTTAAAGAGATACAAGTCATTTGTTTTGTCATACATTGCATCAGTAAACTCACATAGCACAATGTCTATGAATAAATAGGCTTGGCCAGCTATTTGGCATGGCAGCCATTTTGGAAGAAAAGAAGAAAAACAAATATATGTATTGAATAGTAATGCCCTGCCTCCTCCTTTCTTTTTAAAGTCCGGACGAGAATTATAGGCATATAAAAGTTATTTCCAAGTATACTCACGGGCTGTCATGTATTTCGAATTCGCAGTTATTATCATCATCATACCACTTCCCCAGTCCTTCTCAATAGCCATGAGCTGTTCAGGTTCCTCCCCTAAATGGGGCTTACCCTTGCAAAAATCCATCGCTCGAGAATGATCCACTGGAAATAATTTGAAAAGTTAATGAAAGTAGAGTATCATATCGTTCTACAATGAAGTCGCATTATGTGATAGAAAGAAACATATAACATATATAAACATAATAAGAACAGTAGCGGATCTAGGGGACGCCTGCGGTGCTCATCAAGCCCCCCCCCCCCCCCTCAAAAAAAAAATCAACAACAAACATCCACAAATATGTGGAGTGCAGAACATCAAAGCCGCCCCCGAAAACACAATTTAAAGCTCGACCCCCCCCCCCCCCACGAAAAATAGAACCTTTATACGAAATTTGAGGGATGGAATTACAAATTATAACTCTAAATGTCATGCATGCAACATTATGCAAATAATACTGCAGTCTGCACTTGGCATAGCTCTACAGATCTGGGATTCGAAGGTCGACCTCCCCGGCCCACCCCCCCCCCCCCCCCGAATGGCCCATTTTTTGGCGGCCCGGGTCTTGGGGGCCACTCTATATCCTTGAACACAACTGACGGTGCAAAGTCCATATGTGGGAGTCCATGTCGATCGAGTTATGTCCACCTAATAATTCCACAATTTTTTTATTTGAAAAATCAAACTACTTCGATTTTGAATGCGGAAGTAGACCATTCGATCTCTTCTAGGCCTCGTACAAAAGCTTATTCCCGTCTGCATATACTATTATATACTAGACTGTATGGATCTATATCATGAGCGGAAGTGCATCATGAGGTATGGATTATAATTGCATATCACACGAACATTATGTCGAAACTTGGCAAGCACTGCACCATTCTCAATATGCGTGAGTTGTATTAAAGATATATCACACCGGTCATGTCTGCACGGGTCTGAGAAATGAATATATGGTATATTATGATGCTATATATACGTACCTTTCAGCGAATTAGTTGATCATAACTATCATGAGACACGAAGATTCATCGAATTCCCGCACAATATTATACCTAAATGATTTCCTTTTACTCGCCAGATTATGTGCAAACAATGATATTAGCACGTACAAATGCAATAAGGGTCACTCGTGCATATTATAGTTTGAAAGCAGAATATACAATGAAGTTCGTGTACAATATGTACTTCATATTGTGTATATGCATAGTTTCGTGTACACAAGTTCCCAGACAAATTCTTGTACATTGCGGTATTGCTATGATAAGCTTCAAGTTCTACAACTGCATGTACTCATGCGCAAAATATGAACTGGGAAAAACATAAGTCAAATGTTGAGGCCTGAAAATTTAGCATAAAATTATCCACTCTCCCAAGTTTTTCCGCGGTTTGGGAGCTAGCTACATGCCCATGGCAGATGACCTATGTCACAAATATTTTATCCGCCACTGTCATTTCACTCCCTTGACATCCCCCCTCTCTCTCTCTCTCTCTCTCTCTAATCTACAGTACAGTATACATGACTTGTGGCCTGTAACAAAAACCTCCTTGCCTGTCCCAACATTGCATTGCTCCGACTAAAAGCTCTCTTTTTAATCATCTCTTCCCCCTCTCTCCCTCCCCTCTCTTTCTCTCCCCTTTCCCCCTCTATCTACCTCTCTCTAATGATCTCTCTGTCTCTCCCTCCCCTTCCTCCATCTCGCTCTCCTTCTCTCCATCTCCCAGTCCCCATCTCTCGTGACTCCCTCTTTCTGTCTCTCCCTTTCTCCATCCCCCCCCCCTTCTCCTTATATCTCTCCCTCTCTTCATCCCGGCCCCTCCCTCTATCTCTCTTTCTCTCCATCTCATCTCACCTCACCCCCCCCCCCCTTCTCTCTCCCGACCTTCTATCTCCTTTACAACACTTCCTCTCTTCACACCCTCCCTCTATCTCCATCTCACCCCCTCTCTCTCTCTCTCTCTCTCTCTCTCTCTCTCGCGCATCATATCTCTCAAAATAGCCCTCTTGCATTGACCTTATTATTCCAAAACACAACACAAGGAGAACACACACACACCCACAAAAGTTGTAAATGTCATCTTTAAAATGATGGAATGTCTCACATTCTTTATTGGATGGATGCAAATATATAACAAATCAAATATTTGAGTATTCTTTTGGTATGAATATAATATCTGTATATACAAAAATCAAACACAAACAACGAAACGCACATACATAAATAATACATACTTTCTTATGGAAATCTATAGAAATAGGCAGGGTAACAATATGCAAATCAATTGCAAATAAAAATACATATTATTCATATAAGTCTTTATAGAAGTAATTTGGTAAAATCAATGTTGAGCATAATATAAATGAATGGTACATAGTAAACTTTAATCAATAGCAAGTTTGATGCTTTCACTGTGTAATCAATATAAAACAAATGCAAAAGTTACCAAATTCAATAATCTTAACACATGGGTTACCATGAACAAATCACGGAAACAGATTTAGCCCCTTCATGTAAGGGGTTCCATGTTAAATATGGTTTTAGAAATTATATATTGGTTAGATTTAAACCTACTTTGTGAATTGGACCCACAGACTGATTAAGTAATGACAACTACAACCCCCCCCCCCCTCTCCCCAACTTTACAAACAAATAAAAATAAAAACTGAATTAAAACTTCTATTCATTTACTTTATATTTTGTGTTCTGTATACAGGGTAATCCCTTCAGTTCAGTACATTAAACAAATGGTTTGCAAGGGAGCTCTGAAATACATCTTTTTACAAACAGAGTGCACGTTTTTAAGTTTGAACACATGTAGCTATTCAGCAAAGACACTGGTAGTCCCCCTTCTAAGCATCATCTGCGGTGGAAACATTGCACACTGGCAGTCGAGTTTTACGAAGGGAGAGTAAAACAGTGGTGCAGTGTAGCAAATGAAAAATATTGGGTTTCGGGAAACATAACACATTTTAACTAGTTGAAAATGCTACCTCTGCCATGGAGCAATTTTACACACCAAAACAGAAGCAATTTTTAGAATTCAAGTTTGATTGCAATCCATTAAAAGGTTCTCAGAATATCGTGATTACGGACGGACAACCCGAAAACATAATGCCTCCGGCTACTTTGTATAGCAGAGGCATAAAAATATCATACATGTTTTGGCAGTATTTCATCACCATGTATAAACCTTCTTGTCTTGTATATTACATCAATACTATTTCGTTATTTATTGTTGTATTAATGTTGTTTATATATTCAAATTTGTTATGATTGTACAAAACTGTAAAGCGCATGGAGAAATTTACAATTTATTATGCGCTTCATAAATATACTCTATTATTATTATTATTATTAATAGTAACCTTATTCCATCTTATAATTCATTGATAAAATCAATGGCCTGGTACATGAACTGGCCAGCACATACAATTATTGGTGGAACACTACTATTTGGGTCGCAAGCAAGGTCCATCAAAAAGAAACAGCTCAGAATCAAACCATGAAACTTAAAATATATCAATATAGCGCACTCACACACACAAATAACAAAATTAAAAAATTAAAGCAGCAACATGTCAAAACTCAAAGTATTGCAAGTCTCACAACAAAACATCAAGGTTAGTACGGGCACTAATATAACGTACAAAAGTAAGCATATTTCATCTTGGATACTGTCAGCACTCAGTCAGCAGAGCTGCCAACCTCTGGAGTTCAAAAACTGTGTTCTTTAATCCCCAAAGTTGTATTTTACAATATAGCACACTCACACGCACAAATAAAACAAAATAAAGCAGCAATATGTCAAAACTCAAAATATGAAGTTTTTACATTTACCGGTAAGTAGAATATGGCAAGTCTCACAACAAAACATCAAGGTTAGTACGGAACACAAATAAAATGTACAAAAGTAAGAATGTTTCATCTTGGATACTGTCAGCATTCAATGGGATAATCTGTGATAACCATGGAAGAAGGTTTACACATAACAGATTGTCAGTAATAGTCTGCTAGGGCCATTGGGTATGACTCTTATACTAATTAACCTAGTCCCACAGATAGGATCAAGGTGTAGGTCTCCTGGATTTACAAGCATCATCTGCAACATATCATAATCCAATCTGAGATTGGTAAATGGTCCGTATAACTTGGACATTCTAGAGTTCCGTGAATCATTATCTAAAGCAAGTCACATGGCAAGTCACATGACAGTGAGATCCCACGACGGTCCATGTGACCTATTTCATCTTAAATCCAGTCACATGACAAGTCACATGACAACGACATCAGCAGACGGTCCACGTCACTAGTTCATCTTAAAGCCAGTCACATGACGAGTCACATGACTAATCACATGATGAGATCAGTAGAGAGTCCAAGTGACTAGTTTCACCTTAAAGCCAGTCACATGATGAGTCACATGACTAATCACATGATGAGATCAGTAGATGGTCCATGTGACCTGTTTCATCTTGGATCCAGGTCCTTGTATCATCTCTAAGGCTTGTCTTGACCTATCTGCAGATATACAAAGAAATGGAGAGAATAGAGTCAGCTTTAGTGAGCTGCTACAACACAGTACACAATTTTGTGTATCTGGATAACTACCCATTCAATTATCTCCCCCCCCCCCCCCAGACAACTTTCCCCTTCAAGATACCCTAATTATCACACAGATTGTGGGGGAGGGGAGTAATTACAGTTTTCAATTTGTGTAATGACCTTAACAATTTCCTTACTTTTCTTATATTCCACCTTAGCTTTTTTTCTCAGGTTTCCATTGACTTGCTGCTCTGATTTAGTTTCAAACCACTTGGGTGTTAGCCTGGGCAGCCTGTCACAAAATCGTCATGTTCGCCAACAACCCATTGAAATGCATTTGTTAGATTTAACACATGTTTCAATAGGACGTCAGTGACTTATACCGGTAGTTATGACAGTTTTGTGAAATGATGCCCAGGTCTTCCCATTTCAAGTAATACTCTGTTTACACTTGTGTATTAACATTTATTTAATCATGAAGAAAAAAAAAAACACAGGAGAGAAGATATTGTGCTACAAATCCTTATATGGACACATTCAACTGTTTTCATTCCACCTGCCTCTTAATTATAAGAATATCTTGAAGTTTTATCCATGAAACTAAAGAACAAGGGACTAGGATTTTTTTATGACGGAACTCTTGATTCTATGCCTCTCTTCTCTCCAACGATTTTCTGGGCTCCCCAAAACAAATCAAGTGGTTCATATAAATAATAATACTAACAATAATAAGCTCATTTTGTTGATAACCTTTCTTATGGAACTGATTGTAAGAATGATGATATGACTCAAATGTGTATGATCATATTGAGTTACTGGAACCAACCAGTAGAAATCAAATTTCCTGTTATGGACAATAATTTATATCCTACATGGGGGGGGGGGGGGGGGGATGTTTCACAAAGATCCTAGGTCAAACTTAACTCTAAGTTGAACTCAATCACTATGGAGAGCCATTTGTAGCCTTAAAATAAAATATATTTAAAAGCAAAAATCAAGATTTTTTTTTACTTTTCATAGATTTCACATCAAGAACATGAAATCTCCTTGATAATGTAAAATATGAATGACCTGAATCAACATTTTATGCCTTTTAAAATGACTTTTAAAAAACATTTTCAAAAATTCTAACGGCTTTCCTTAATTCGTTGCTGTTTTCACAAAGTGACGGTAGTGAAAAAAAATTGCATTCACTTTGCGTTACGCTTTTCCTCACTACTGTCACTTCGTGAAAATAGGGACGAATTGCTAAGTCCAACTTAGAGATAAGTTCAACTGAGGATCTTTGTGAAACACCTCCTACCTGTAATACATGGGCATCCATGGAAGAGAAGGATAGCAATCTTGGGGCAGAAGTTGACCACTGCCTCGACGGCTTCATCTGATAGATGGATGCAATTATTCAGGTGAAGCTCTTTCAATGATTGTTTACATACACCGTTACACAGGCTGAATATACCCTCGTCAGTTACCTGTAACAAAAGTAATAATAATGATAATGACGATGGTGGTGGTGGTGGTGATGGTGGTTGTGGTGGTGGTGATGATAGTGATGGTGGTGATGATAGTGGTGATGGTGGTGGTGGTGGTGGTGGTGGTGGCGGTGATGATGGTGGTGGTGGGGGTGGTGATGATGGTGATGATGATGATGTTGATTTTGATGATGATGACGATAATGTTGATGATGATGATGATATTGATGATAATGATGATGAAAGTGATGATGATGATGATGAAAGTGGTGATGATGATGGTGGTGATGGTGGTGATGATGATGATGATGATGATGATGATGTTAATGATGGTAACACTGGTTTCTTATATAACACTTTTTCCATTAGCTGACCAAAGTGCTCACAGTATTATCATTACTCCAGTCATCTTTTTCTACAGGCACGCACACGCTTATCCAACCACAACGATATTTCCATCCTACTGGTTGCCCATTTAGACCTGGGTGGAGAGGAGCAATGTCAATAAAAAGTCTTGCTCGAGGACATAATGTAAGTGCCGCACCTGGGCTCGAAACCATGACCTTTGCATTTCCAGTTAAGTGATCAGACCACTGGACTACAAATATTGAGAAAATTACTTTCCAATTGTGACTTTTGTTGTATAGGCAAAAGATACAAGGTGGTGTGGTATAGTGGATACATCGCTGGACTGTGGACCACATGGATTATGGTTGGAGTCCCGCCTTGGCACTAATGTCCCTCGGGAAGACATTAAAGGTACAATACAAAGTTTTGGGAAATTTTGAAAATTGTGATGGATAGTAATTCTTTAAAATGTTGATGTATTTGGATGCCCCTGTGGATAGAATATACGTACTAGAAAATTTAGCCCCTAAAACACTTCTGCTTTCGAGAAAATCGAATACGGTAACAAAATTTACCGGTGCTCCCGGTAAATTTCAAATATTTCAAATAGCGCCTAAGGCCATTCCATGGTAGCTGCGACCATGAAAATCTCAGAATATGCAGTTCTGATATATATATAATTTCCAAATGGGAATAACGAATCGGTCGATTGTTGTCAAGTAACATTGTTTTAAAGCAAAAGTAATATCAGTCTTCAGATGGAGCTATACAACATAAAGAGTTTATCATTTACTATTTCATCACCTTAGACTCAATTTCAACCGCGACAACGATCATTGAATATTGTAAAATCATATATGCTTCCAATATGTTCATTTGACCCAAATTCATGACCCCATACCAAAACTTTGTATAACCTTTAATCTAGATACTGTACATGAAGGATGATGATGATGAATTCGAATTTGAATTTAAATCTGACCTTAGTTCTGGAGATATTCAAACTCTTCAGCATTCTGCAGTTCTGCCCAATAGCTTGTAGCGAGGCATCAGACAGTCTGATACAGCCTCCCAGGTTGAGTTCCATGAGCTGATGGCAAGACTGAGCTAAGGCTATGGTAGACGGGTCTTCAAGGCTAACACACCGACGCAGATAAACAATACTCAGATATGGGCAGGATGTAGCCAAGGCTTGGATCCCTAGTGAAAAGTGAGAATGACATCATTTTAAAGGAAAAATCTAACCTTAGCAGACATTTATTTTATAAGAAAGCAGAAATATCAGATAAGTAGTCCTGGTTTGGATGAAATTGTACCAACAAAATAAGTAAGGTATTCATTCATTTATTACATTTTATTTAAACAGGGCAGCCCCATCAGTAATCAAAGTACTGTTTTCCAGGGGGCCCTGTAAAGGTATGAATTTTTAAAACTCACCAATATGAGATTTCCATAGATTTAACTACATCATATTTCAAACATTTATAACTCCCTTATCATTGGTCCGATTTATTTCAAACTTTCGCCATTTTGTTTTTCTTATTGAACTTACAAATGAACTTTGGATTTCCCTCTAATAAGAATATAGAGTACAGTAAACTTGTACATAAAGACTGCTCAAGAGAGCCAAGAAAAGTGGTCTTTAAGCGCAGGTGGTCATTATGTCCAGATTCCTTTACTACACATTTCAATGAGAAACGATCTTCCAAGAAATGTGACCTTTCTATACAGGTAGTCATTAGAGTAATCTTTCCGTCCATTGTTCTGTCCAGACCTGTAGGTATGCAAACGAGCAAATCGAACGTACCAATCGGTGCTGGTGGTAAATGAAAGACTCATACCGTTTTCACACCTGGTTCAGATAACCCAGGCTAAGGACCGGGCTTAGGATAGCCAGGGCTACGAAATGTTTTCACACCTGGTATTAAATTAACCCGGGTTAACAGCTAGCCCGAGCTTTAAAACGTTGCCTGTTTTCACACCTGCTTTGCCTAAGCCCAGGACTATCGGACTATTTCAGAAGATTAAAGTGACCTAACGTGTGCGCACGCACAGTGCAGTTCTACAACTTCCTATGGAAGTCGACACTCGACTTCAGTCTTCAAAATGGCGCCACTTCTTATACGATTTCGAAGGATGCAATGGTTTTCCTGCTTGCCATATTCTTTTTGGGAAAGAGTAATAGCTAAACCAACAGTAGAAGGAAGAGGGTGAAACGTCATTTGCAACAATTGCAACGTTAAGCGCCACAATTGTTGCGCTAACCCTACTCGGGAGCAGGGCCAGCTTAGCCCGGGAACTTGCGGGAAACGTCAAAATCTCACCTTGATCTGTAATGTCAGTCCTCTCTCCTTTGGATGTATTGAGATCAATCTTCCACAGGTTTCTACAGACTCCTAGTCTCAGGAGAGCCCTGTCACTCACAGATGACTCGCTCAGATCAAGGATCCTCGTCCTTTTGTGGATAACCTAGTTCAAGGACAGTCAAATGAATTCATGGCACTTGATTTTTTATTTTTTTCTATTCAAAAAGTATTCTCAGTTTAGCACCAAAAATGTTAGATTAGGTACAGGCTAGCCTATCCAATATGCGTCGGGCTTTTGCAAATATACTGATCCCGTTATGGAGACTGACATCGGCGCGGGAGTCAGCCCGAGCGCCTATCATCACTGGTGAACTCATCATTATTCATATGTGTATCGTATGTGTGACGAGCGTATGTTCATGCATGATTCATAAGACTAGCCTTATTTGGTGATCGATCACTTTGATTCAACCAATCAAATATCATCTCCAGGTTCCTCATCGCTCATCGGACTATTTTGGTCCATGCTACATAAATATTCATGAAAGAGCTTTACAGGGGGTTCATAGATTTTCTATGAACGAAACAAGGTTCATAAAAGAAAATAAAACTTTTTGCATGCACTAGTGATGATAGGCGCTCGGGCACATATCGAATAGACTAGGTACTGGCTAGAACACTGAGGAATAAACAACATGTTAAGAGCAGATTAGACGTCTATTAAAAAAACCTTCCTCTAAATTTGAGAGCCTCATTTTTGAGAAATAAGATGTGTAAAAAGGCTTGTTCATATACATGTATGAAGTGTATTTACACTTTACTTAAGAATAAACACCGCCACAGTTTTGCCTCATCATAAGACGTAGACATTAATCTACATTTTCCACTCTCTACCCAGGTGTGAATGGGTACCTGATATGCTTAAGCGCTAGTTACTTTGGCAGCTCGGCCAAGACCAGGGTAATATGTGTAAAAGGGACACCAGAGCCTGGTGGATACGGGCGCTATATAAATATCCATATTATGATCATCTATAATATCTGAATGAGCTTTATTATTAGAAAATCTAAGTGTATCTTTATCAAAAGGAGATTAACTAACCTTTGCAACATTGGTGTCTGTAAGTAGACCTCTCTTGGACATCAGATGAAGGAGATTATCTTTGACGTTGATTGGAAGGTTGTCAAGTTGAGATAGAAAACATGGCAACTGTTTGATCACCGACAAAAGAGACCTGGTAATAAAACAAAGATAGACTCTCTAGTCGGTGTGTGATTGCCCATGTCATTGCGTGCAGTATACTGTATAGTTTCACAATATCAGACTGATTTAGATGAAAGTAGGTCGTTATGATTATGAAAATACAATATTCAGAAAATAGTCATCAATTCTTCAAAGTTAATAAAAGATTTTGTGAAATGTCATGCACGCCCCGGACGCACGCATGAATAATAATATATTACAAATTATATTCTACCTGGGCAAAGGCATTGGGAAATCAAGATTTGGGGGATAAAAAGGGAAATTAATGGGAGAAAAATATATAAGATCTGATAAATAGGCAATGCGTCACAAACCCATAACCGAATTGGCAATTTGTGTAGTGATTTCCACTGAAAGATAAAAAAGAATTAGGTAGTCTACTCTAGAACTCTAGCTCTAGCCTAGAATGACTAGGAGGACTAGGAGTGACTCAGCTACAGCTACATAGGCCTACATGTAGCTAGGACAGATTGGCATCAAACTGCTCCTACATCAACATGTAGCTCAGCCTCGGCCCGGCTTCGCGGAAAGATTTCCTTTTGCGACAGCCACCTCTCTCTCTTCTCTACTTCCATTCCTCCTTTAATCTATTCACACTCTTGCGTGCTGTCCATTCAAGCAAACACTCTGACATTGCACAGAACATCACATCACAGTTCGCACGAACTTCAAACTTCAAACCTAATTAGCCGGGCGCGGGCCTACATGTAGGACTTCGAAGCGGTAGAGCCATCGTCCCGTCCCCTCGGCTTCCTCGACAGCCTTGGCCTGGCCAGAGGTGTTGCAATCAAGAGCAGCCGCTGCACGACAGAGACTAGATCTAGTCAAAACGTTAAGCAATTTTGGATTATTTAACTCACTTTAATACTTCACTTACACTGAAAATAGCGATGAAACTGTGATGCAGTTATTGGTGTGTTGCTCCGTCATCTTGATTTTACTTGCTCAGGCCGCCATGAAAGTAGTTACAACTTTCGATCGATGTCGCAAGTTCATTTTACTTCTGCTTTCAATTTCTTACAATCTCAAACGAGAGATGGCGCTCTATCGATCTAATCAATCATTATGTGTACTGCTCTGTAAATATATAGTACCCGTAATATTTCTTGATAGAATTTTTTGTTCTTTACTAAATGTGTGCGGAGGGGAAATACCAGAAATTTGATTTTATCAAGATTTTATTCTTAAACTATTTACATTGTATTAATGATTTTTGTTTTAATACATTCGCAGAAAGAATGTTTGATTGTATAAATTTCACTATCATGTATTTTCGTTTTGGTTTCATTTAGCTTTTCTCTGCTCTCATTTTCCTCTCTCTATAATTATGTTTCAAAGATCGAGGACACCCTTTTTCTCCCTCTTCCTAGCTTTTGGTGGTTTTGGTGATTTTCTAAATGTTGATGAAGCTGATGACTATGGCAGAAGAGTTATGAACTTGATCGACCGCGGAGTATAAATATTTGTTTGTAATATACTTATTCATTATTATGTTTTGCATGAGAAATAAAATTATTTGATTTGATATTATTCATTTTTTAAGTCGTCAGGCTGTGGGTCATAATGGTTCGGTGTTCGAGTCCCGCCGCTACAGCTTTGGCAAGTCATTGACCTACATAATGACACCCTCCATCACCCAATCATTGTTATAAATTCATTTGATTGTAAGCGGAAAATTGAGAGAAACAGATTGGCGTAAAATTGAAATAAAATCGGACCAATAATATAAACTTTATAGGTGTTTGGATTACTAAATCACTTACTCTATTATGTGAATAGTAAATTGTCAATTTGGTGCATGGATTTTGATGTATTTATTTGATTTGATTTGATTTGATAAGGTTTTATTCGAATATTCAACAATACAGCTGGAAGCTAATGCAAGTGAATTTACAAGGTACGAATAATTCCATAGACATATAAATATCATTATATAAGGTATAAACAATACATAGTACATACAACAATGGAAACAAGAATAAAGTGAGTTCGGTTTGCATACTTGGATATGAAATAATAGAAAATCAAAGGGTAGGCCTACAACTTCCCCGTTTGTTAACATCAGAAAGTGTTAACAACTTGAAGCGAACAAGTTAATATCAGTGAAGCACAGTGGTCTTGTGGATAAGACATCTCACAATGCATGTGTACTCGGTTCGATTCCCGGCTACGCCTTTTTACCTCGCGTTTTATTTTTTCATCTCTTTTTTTTTGTTTAAGGGACACCCCCTCCTCCTCCCCAGGTCGAAATTCCGTTAGGATCCGATCCTATTGGACCATCAGAAACCATTAGAGCTATTGGTGTCTAATGGTTTCAATAGGGAAAGTGAAATGATGGACCCACAGAAACCATTAGAAAATATCTATTGGACCAACACAAACCCACAGAAAGAAATGCTGATGGACCAACAGAAAGCTTCTATTGGACCAGTATCCACCAATGTCTTCTATGGGTTTCTGTTGGTCCATTAGATATTTTCTATGGGTTCCTGTTGGTCCACTAGAGATCTTTCTATGGGTTTCTCTGAATTCCCTATTGAAACCAATAGTCCAATGGCTTATATTGGTAAATCAATAATGATAAATCAAAATCGATTTTAGCAACTGTCCACCAAAAAAAAGTATATTATAATCTCAATTGCATTAACTCCATCACATAGATCCCTTGAAGTGAGTTAAAGAATATCCTTTGATTTAACTGAAGGCTTGTACTATTCTATATAATAAACATACATGAATAATTGTTTCTTGGTTAGTAATCATTATAATCAATATATCTATTGCTAAAAAGTGGATGAAATTGTAACATGATTTAACAAATAATCTATTGGTCATTAGTTGCCGAAAGAAAATAAAAATCACAAAATTGATGTACATTGTCATAAGTTGCTTAACAAATTATGATAAATGTACTTTTCTGTGAACACGTATAAAGTAATCATGAATATGCATGAGATAGATTTAGCTGTTGGTTTCTATTGGTTTCTATTGGACCTATTGCTTTCTATTGGTCCCATTGGGTTCTATTGGTCTCATTGGTTTTCTATTGGTCCTATCGGTCATATTGGTCATATTGGTCCTATCGGTTCTATTGGTTTCTATTGGTATCATTGGCTTATATTGGTCCTATTGGTCCTATTGGTCCTATTGGTCCTATTGGTTTCTATTGGTCTTATTGGTTTCTATTGGTCTTATTGGTTTCTATTGGTCCTATCGGTTTCTATTGGTCTTATTGGTTTCTATTGGTCCTTTTGGTTTCTATTGGTCCTATTGGTTTCTATTGGTCCTATTGGTCCTATTGGTTTCTATTTCTATTGGTTTCTAAGGGTGCTATTGGTTTCTGATGGTTTGAATGGTCTCTATTGGATTCAATTCTATGGGTCCAACAGAAACCAATAGACTCCAACAGAAACCATTAGAGACCAATATAATTTTTCTAATGGTCTCTATTGGTCTCTATGGGATTTTCGACCTCGGAATTAGACATCGCTTCACAATGCAGATGTACTCGGTTCGATTCCCGGCTAAGCCTTTCTACCTCGTTTTTTTTAATCATTTTATTCTTCATATTGATTTGTCCATCTCTTTTTTTTTGTTTAGGGGACACCCCCTCCTCCTCAACACAGGAGTACAAGTAGTTTATCATCATATTTTTAAAAGTCATTAACATCAGAAAGTGTTAACATCTTGAACCGAACAAGTTGATATCAGTGAAGCACAGTGGTCTTGTGGATAAGACATCGCTTCACAATGCAGATGTACTCGGTTGGATTCCCGGCTACGCCTCTCATATGGCTCCGTTTAGTCTCATTTCACAACGCCCCCTATCGTCAGAGCATGGTCAGATTCAGCAGCCTAACATGTTAGCCTATGGACGTTTTTTTTTAAAATCGTTAAAAATTCATTTTTTGTTTAAACGAAAAACACATCCACCCCGACGTACGTTATCACTAGCTCTTTCATTGGAGCCCTCATGTCTTATTGACTTTTCAAAGTTCACCCACCGTAATTTTTGAAAATAGGTTGCAAGCTCGTCATTATTTGCCTATAATACACATGTGAAACAAGTCTAACTTTGGACTCAGTTTACCAAGCGATTTGAAGATTATAGGTCGAGCACACGAAACATAAAAAGCATGAATTATCATAGATCACTTCTGCCTATTTCGTTTTGTCCATTTCATCCAACCCCCCACCGTAATTTTTCCATTTAGTATAAGCAAACATTTTGCCGAGTTAGCAAAAACATGAATATTCATGAACGGTCAGACAATACAGCCTTTTAGTACGTAACGTATATGGGAATGTGCGATGATCCGTGTAGGAGGTAGAGGTCAGTGGTATGTGCTGGCAATGTTCACGCGAGCGAAAATGAGACAATCGGAGCAATATGCTACCTTGCGTTTTTTTTTTTCATCTCTTTTTTTTGTTTAGGGGACACCCCCCTCCTCCTCAACAAAGGAGTATAACTAGTTTATCAGCATATTCTTAAGTACACAAATATAGTAGGCCTAATTTTTTCTCCTAAGCGACGCGTCTCCCTAATTGGGACACATCTCAAAACAGATTGTGGATAGCATATTAATTATTAAAGGTTCTCTAAAAAGAAAAAAACCCTAATGAATCATTAAAACGGAAAAAAGACTCATTAATTAGTGTGCTGGATAAAATGGGAAAATTGTCTGGCAATTCGACCATCACAGTGACGCGTCTTGTTGATTCAACCAATTTGAACTCGGGTGTCCATACGTGATAACAATTATTCTAGAAAATTCCTAACTTTAGTATTTTTGATCGATTTTCGTTCAAACTTTCACCAGTCAGCTTAATAAAAAAATCTGCTTACCTTTGAAGCACTTAATTTACCATCAAGGAAATATTTCCCTTTTAAAAGGTTATTGAAACTTAATGCTCACCTGGCACACCCTCTCTCTCTTTCTCAGTTCTCACTCCCAATCACACACATTCACATAATTTATACACACTATTACTCCCCTTACCTTACTCTCTCTTATACTCACTCTCCCTTTCTCCCTCTCTCTCACCCACTTCCCTTTCACTAAATGTTCTTTTCTCTCTCACCCACTGTCTTTTTCAATTAATCTCCCTCTCTCTCTCTCTCTCTTTCACACACACACAAACTTCCCCTTTTTCTTATTCAATCTCCCCCTCTCTCACCCACTCTCCCTCTTTCTTTCTCAATCTCCCTCATTAATTCCTTCCGCACACCTGTCTCTTTTTCTCACTCAATCCCTCTCACCCACTCTCCCTTTTTTCTAACACAATCTCCCCCCTCTCCCTCTTTCTCACCCACTCCCCCTTACTCAATTCACCTCTCACTCACCTGCTCTCTTTCTTACTCAATCTTCCTCTTTTTCTCTCACACTTCCCCTCTTTCTCACTCGAACTCCCTCTCTCTCTCTGACCCACTCTCCCTTTTTTCTCTCTCAATCTCCCTCATTAATTCCCTCTCACCCACTCTCCCTTTTTCTAACACAATCTCTCTCTCACTCAAACTCTCTTTTTCTATCTCACACACAAACTCCTCCTCTTTCTTACTCAATCTCCCTCCCTCTGACCCACCCTCCCTTTTTCTCACCCACTCTCCCTCTCTTTCTCAATCAATCTCCCCATGTCACCCACTCTCCCTCTCTCTCCCTTTCTCACCCACTCTCTTTCTCAATCAATCTCCCCCTCTCTCTCAATCAATCTCCCCCTCTCTCTCACCCACTCTCCCTCTCTCTCCCTTTCTCAATCAATCTCCCCCTCTCTCTCAACAACTCTCCCTCTCTCTCCCTTTCTCACCCACTCTCTTTCTCAATCTCTTCTTCTCTCTCACACACACACTCCCTCTCTCACTCACTCTCCTCTATTCCCTTTCTCACCCACTCTCTTTCTCAATCAATCTCCCTCTCTCCCTCTCTCTCTCCCTCTCTCTCCCTTTCTCACCCAATCTCTTTCTCAATCAATCTCCCTCTCTCTCTCTCACCCACTATCTCCCTTTCTCACCCAATCTCTTTCTCAATCAATCTCCCTCTCTCTCTCTCACCCACTATCTCCCTTTCTCACCCAATCTCTTTCTCAATCAATCTCCCTCTCTCTCTCTCTCTCTCTCACCCACTATCTCCCTTTCTCACCCAATCTCTTTCTCAATCAATCTCCCCCTCATTCTCACTCGATCTCTCTCACCACTCCCTTCTTCTCACTCAATCTCCCTTTCTCTCTCACCACTCTCCCTCTTTCTCAATCAATCTCCTTCTCTCTCTCTCTCTCACCCACTCTTTCTCTATCTCCCGTTCTCACCCACTCTTTTTCTCAATCTCTTTCTCTCTCTGTCACCCAATCTCCCTCTCTTTCTCACTCAATCTCCCTCATTAATCCCCTCTCACCCACTCCCTCTTTCTCACTCAATCTGCCTCATCTAGATTTGTCTCTAAATCTTACTCCATTTCTTCCTTCAAGCAAGAACCAGTGTGCGATAAAAATATAAACATCAATAATTGTTTATTCTGAAACAGTTTCTCAAATTGATATAAATAATCATGTAACATTTCTGTATAATGTAAGGCATCTCAGAAAAGTTTGAATGAAACATTTTACAAACAAACCTAGTACCGGTACAAAAAAATATTGCCTCCTGGCAGTCAAATATGAAGGCATCAACTAGCATGAAAGATCAATTAGAACATGTACATCTGATTATTAAAAACCAATGAAAAACATAATGTACATATATGTCATACCAGTTCCCAAGTGAAAAGGTTTGGTCCTAAAGGTTTGGTCCTAAAGGTTTGGTCCTAAAGCTTTCATCCTAAAACTGCCGACATTGTCTGGAGCAAGAAGAGCTTTAACCCAAATATTTTAACACAGAGTTAATGCCCTTTTGGCTCTGAATAAATGACATGTTGTTAACACCATCTAGATTAACTACAATGTTTGATGGTTAAATAGTTTTATGAGACATAAATTTTCAAAACAATATAGAGGCATCTATCATTAAATACAGAAAATGGGATTACCAACTAGGATAAATGTGAATTAAAGTCTCACCTCCCTGATTACATAATACAAGGAGAGAGTTAGGAGTGTCACTACTAGACCCTTTTGAAGAGGGAGGGGGGTTCGGCGGTTGGTCACACACCAAGTTTACTAATAAGAGGTGTCACATTTTCAAATTTGCCAATAAAAGCTAAAAGTCTATTTATGAAAAGCAACAATTAAAAAAAAACTCATTATACAAATTAATGATGCATGCAAAAGTTCATTATACGATCTTTCCGCACCTGAGTTGAGGCTGGATGCATCTATCATACAAAGCCTGTTTAAATCAAAAAGCTTAAGTTGGTTTAATTAATACTGATGTTATGGGGGAAAAAGACATCAAGGTCAGAACAATGCAAGCCTCTCTGAATAGTTTGGTCAATATTCAGCCACAGAGAACGAATGCAATAACATTACTCCAATTTTGTCTAAGGCCTCACAACTTCTGCTGAGCAAGTAAAAAATAGCACTTTAAAAACCAGTAGACCTTGGTTACACAATGAAGTGAAAGATTGAACCTTCCAACCATAACATGAAAATGAAATGGTAGCCAAGATTTAGGGACATCTTGACTTAAAGCACACCATGGTGTAAACTTGGCACAAAATCATTTAAATGTTAAACCGGTAATCAAAATCAGGCAAATCTTCATTTTTGTACAACAAATGACTCTGTCACAAAATGAAGAGCCCAATGTAAAATTTGAATATTGCCTGTTTACAGCCAGGAGGGCTTTAAATCTGCATTTAAGGGGATAAAGAAGGCAGTTTCTATGTGCAGGAGGCCGTATTATCTCTGCTCAATACACAGGAATTATTATTGTAACGATACAATAATTTGTAATAATACAAACTATGTGGAATGAACAACATGTAAACATAACTTTCTTCTGTTATAAAACATAGCACCTTAGAAGGTATGTACATGTTATCTGCATTCCAATCAATGAAGGAAAGCAATAGACTGGTGAGAGATATACAAGGGAATCATTTGATTAGCTAAAGCATAATATAGTTCTGTTCTCAAGAGTTGTTTGTAATATGTAATACTTAACGTACCGGTGTAAAGGCTCGTTCAGATATACCACACATCAAAACCACAGAGGTTTTGTTCCTGATGACATTAGGTGTGATGTGATTCACTTTAAAAAAAAAATCTGAGAACACATAGCTCTGTGATTAAATGCAAATGCACTGCAGACCTGCCAACCTCCGGAGTTCAAAAACTGTTTTCTTTAATTCCAAAATTTTTATTTTACTGACGAAAATTGTATTGTTAAGAAAAACCACGGACTGTTACGTGGATCAATGCCTCTTCCAGTTCCTACATACAGGAAGAATTTGTTTAATGTATCATGGGTTGAATATGCATGATTTCGTCACGACTGGTGTGTATGATGAACCAATGAACATCCCCAAATTGCTGATGTGAGATGCCTGTAGGATACCTTTAAAGGACAGAATGGGCATTGTTTTTGTGTTTTGGGGGAAAATCACATTTTCTTGAGGAAAATCATATGGTCGTATTTGCTTCTAAAAAAATTGTACAAAATACGATTAAATTGTACTGGTTGGCAGATCTGGCACTGTTACCCACAGTTGCCACTCATTTCACACATGTTACAACCATGTGATCCACAGTCTGGTGACATGTCCACTACACCACCACACCTCCACATGCGCCTCACAAAGTTTAATACGTTTCACATTTTTGTATCATATGGCACATAGCTCAGTGCATATGTGCAAATGCTTTGCTTCACACAGTTCCCATTCCTATTCCTTTACACATAAAAAAAAATATATATAAGGCGGCCATTTTGTGGCGGTTACTGCACCATAGCTGAACAAGCCTTTAGAGTCAAGTCAGATCAAATTAAAACAAAGCTTGTGTACTGTTAGCTTTGGATTTCAATCTCTGTATTAAATGTCACACTTAGTAGGCACTTTACACCCATGGGTCCATATATAAATGACACTACTAAAAATGCACAAAAACATGTAAAACTACTCGCTAAATATCCCCTCTTCATATACTGTGTAAGGATATTGCATATATTCTTTAATATATAACTATTTGAAAATGAGTTCAGTCACAGTATATCAATTCATTTCATTTACACAACATATATCAATATTATCAAGATCACTTTTTATGTAAAATATAACTCTTGATCATGTAGTACTAAATTTATTGATCTGGAACTGTAAACATTTTCCTGCCATGCACTGCATGGAACATAAATGAAAAAGTACATAATGATGAAAAATCTGAGCACGTTTATACAAAACTCTAAACATATCTACAATTTCAGGTATATCTAGTTGGGAAGGCTATGGGTGATAAATTATATACAGCTTTATACAAAGTGTAAACATAAGGGCAGCGTCTCACGAAACCGCCATAAGTACAAGTTCACCGACATCCCATTGAAATGCGTGTATTAAGTTTAACAAGCATTTCAATGGGATGTCGGTGAACTTGCACTTATGACGGTTTTGTGAAATGCTACCCAGGTATATAAGGAACATTAATAACTTTAGGCAAACTGTACCAGCATTCGTGGAAGGCTGACAGTTAACAAATTGATGATTTTATACGAGTTCTACGAATCTATTTCGTTTTGACATCTCTTGTACACGTATGGAAGGCTTTGGATAAAATCTATTGCAATGAATCATTATTCATTCCTTCAATGTATTCCTCAATAAACCTACACTGAATGACATTCAGGGACCCGTTTCCCAAAACTTGTCATCAGTGACAAATGACAGTCTTTGTTATAAGCTACTGAAATCCTTGCTTCTGATTGGTTATCAGCAGAGTTGTCACTGATTTTTGTCATTTGTCATTGAATAAAGGCTTTGTGAAACAGGCCCCAGAAGGATAATCATTTCTGAGCTCCCAAGATTGTGTTCAGGGTACTGGAGGTCCATATTTTGTAGGAGTTCAAGCAGACTGCTAGAAGAAATTAAACAACTTCTGAAGTAGCAGACATAATGAACTGCACCCCTGCTACCCCTCTTAAGGAGTCGTTCTGCTTTCCTCTGCCCCTTCAACTGATAACAATGTCTCAATATTCTATTGGCGGTGTATGAAGTGGGTAGAACATCCGTGCTGCACCTCGCATAACCCTCAAGGCTTGTTCAGATACGATGACAACATAAAGTGTAATACGCACAAGACCTTTGTTGCGGCTTACAGCGCCATATCTGAACGAGCCTTTGGGTACAAAGTATTAAATTCACACAAGAGGTGGTCTCGGGTGGTTTCTATTAGTAACGGGTCCCAATACCCTCACAACCTCTTTCCACTGGGCGGAGAACATTGTTACACCCCTCTCATCCCCCTTTAATCGGTACAAAGTATCAAATTCATATAGGAGGTGGTCTAGGTTGGTTTATATTAGTACCAAGACCCTCGCAACTTTGCGTCCCACCGGGCAGGGAGCATTGTTACACCCCTCTCACCCCCTTTAATGGGTACAAAGTATCAAATTCATATAGGAGGTGGGCTTGGGTGGTTTCTATTAGTAACGGGTCGCAAGACCCTCACAACCTCTTTTAACCGGGCGGAGGGCAGCGTTACACCCCTCTCACCCCCTTTAAGGGGTACAAAGTATCAGATTCATATAGGAGGTGGGCTAGGGTGGTATATATTAGTATAAGGCCCTAAAACCCTCACGACCTCTTCCCACGGAGCCGAGAGCAACGACCCACCCCCACTACACTTCTCCAGCGGTAGTATGGTCCCTATGATGCTGATGATGGCGAGGATGAAGAGCGTTCCAGTCAGGATCAAGCGACCTATCCTGCTCGCCCTAGACCATGGGATAGTCTTGGAGTATTGCCGCATCAATTTCATTATAGGCTGTGTCTCACTGTGGGAATAAAAACACAGATAGCAATGAAAGGGAATGAATTAGTCTGTTTAAAGAGTTGGAAGGGTGAAAATTCTGTGTTGAATAATATGAATTAATGCCAAGATTCAATCTTAGGTTATGTTTAGGGCTAAGGTTCAACTTTTTGGCCCCATAGCATTGCCCTAATGCGCAATTTTTTATTTCTATTATCTTATTCAAAGGTTAATCTTAAGTGTAGTCTTGGGTCCTGAGATGTAAGTACATGTAGTAGAAAATTAAAAATTGTCACATGATCATTTATCTTCCAATCAAAGTAGAAGCACATAATTCTTATGTTATTTTTTTTTTTTCAACACGATTTACTGTTTCACACGTGTACAAGCCTCTGGTATTTAAAGGGGCTGTAGCATGACGAGACTATGCATCTTCCCTGAGGCCCACTTTGGGAAAATCGGGTATAATACGACTACGGACGACACGACCACAGTAGGCCTACGTATTCATGTGCGTGCAACATACGCGAACCGAAGCGTGAGGAGAACTTCGGTCTGTTTCGCGAACGCTAGCGCGCTGACCCAGTTAATGAAGTCCACTCGTTAAAGTGCAATTGTCCAAAAGATGACGTAGATGGTGTCAACCAGCAATACCCATGCTACACACAGCCCCTTTAAGTAATGACATCTTACCCATTCTTTTCATGCTCGTCTTCATCTTCGTCCTCCGCTGCTTCCATGATCTCTTCAAGATTCTCGCACAGCGCCCTCTGTTGATCACGAAGGTCATCCAACTCCTGGGAGATCTGAGACCGCACACCTTGTTCAAATCTGTGGTGGATTAAAGGCATCGTTTAACAATGTTAAATCTGAGATGCATGGCCCTACGTGTTATCAGTGTCTGTGATATGGTGTAATATTGAAGCCCTAACAAAATTGTGCTTCAAAATGATCATGAAGTGCCTCAAAAAAGTAAAAAAATCTTTGACTGACCGGTTTTACCATACTCATTTTCCCAAATAGACTGAAGTGTTATAAAAACCTTTAGGAAAACGAAAAATGAAATTTTGACTTCCAATCATAAATATCTTGATAATCAGACAGGCGATCGGCTTGTAAAAATCATGGGATTCCTGACTGACCTCAAGGTTTATAATTATGTTTGCGGCATGAGCTAACTCCTGGATTTTGTTTCAGAATCTGAGGCAATGTTACCCAATTCCTTTAAAGCAAAGTGGTGTTGTTACCATCTTGACAAACATTGTTACCTATAATTTTGAATCTGTTATTTATCAAAATCTCGACCAACTTAGGACTTCTGGATCTAACAGTGGACTGCCACAGAAGAAGTTTGTCCAACGGGAAATGCATATGCATCATAAAAATATATTCAATCCAGTGAATAAAGAGTTAATCCAATTCCACAAAAGTTTTAGAAATCTCTCCAGTTTGATGACAAAGTCACATCTATATATTGAAGTGCTCTACTCTGCAACAGATAATAATAATGATAATTTGAAAATAATCTTTAATTAAGTGATAATCTTCAACTCACATGAATTTTAAAGTACATCTGTATATATGCTCAAGTTATATAATTATTTTGTTTATATATTTGATAGCGACAAAAAAGTTTCAAGGGTAACACAAACCAAATATATTTTCTTGTAATTCAATGATTACTCTTAATTACTTACTCATTGTCATAAATGGGGTATTAAAATTAAACGGGGCCAAACTTGACTGACTTAACTATTTGTTAGTTCCATTTCAAAAATACAGTTAAACCTGTCTATAGCAACCACCCATGGGAAACACAAAAAGAGGTCTTTGCAGACAGGTTCCTTTAGTACATGTTGCAATGAGAAACCATTTTCAAGGGGAAACAAAAATGTGGTCTTTGTAGACAGGTGGTCACTAAAGCAGGTTTGACTGTATATCATTGTCATACTGAAATTAATTTACCTTCAATTTTGTTATAATAAATGAACGTTTAAAGGCCATACACCTATACTAGTTTGGCTAGGAGGGATTAGACCACCCTGGGAGGTCACTGACAGGTGGCTATCTCATTTATCAGCTCTCAATTAACATCAGAAAAAGAGGATCATGGGGGACCAATGGTCAGCGCTTAGGCATTGTTCTCTACATGTATATAGAGGGAGCAAGTAGTACAGTGGGGCTTTAAGCAAGTTTGACTGTACATATCATTTTTTATTGTCATACTGAAATATAATTTACCTGGATTTTTTTTTTAAATAAATAAATGAGAGAAATAAGGTTTCAATTGAAGAGCAGAGTTTCTTACCCTTGCTGGAAGATTTCCTCTTCTGTTTTGGACCTCTGACTGTTATTCTTGCCCTCTCCGTCCCCACTGATAACCACCGGAGTTGAGGAGACTAGTCGAGGTGATTTATCAGTCGGTGATGAGGCTGGTGGAGTCAGAGGCTTGATGGGAGAGAGCTGGGCAAGCTCTGGACTGTGATTCCCACCAGAGAGGGATATACTGTGGAGACAGAAATATGGTCATAAGAATTATTATTCAAAAATGCCATTGATAATTTTGAGGATGTTGGGGATGATGATGGTGTTGGTGATGATTATGATGATGATGATGATGATGATACTAATGGTAATGAATGATAATGACAGTACTGGTGGTGATGGCAATGAAAATGATGATGATAATGGTAATGATGGTGGTGATGATACTAATGATAATGATTATACTGATGATGATGATGATTATGATGATGATAGTAGTGGTGGTGATGATGGTGATTGATAATGATTGTGGTGATGATGATGATGATGATGGTGGTAGAGATGATGGTGGAGTCAGGGGCTTGATGGGAGAGAGCTGGGCAAGCTCTGGACTGTGACTACCACCAGAGAGGGATATACTGTGTAAACAGAAATATGGTTCATGATAATTATTATAAAAAATGTGATTGATAATTTTGAGGATGATGGAGAGGATGATGGTGATGAAAATGAGAATGACGATGATGATGGTGGTGTTGATGATACTAATGGTAATGATGATGATGATAGTAGTATTGGTAGTGATGATGATGATGGTGATGATGATGATTGTGATGGCGGTGATGATGATGATGATGGTAATGATGATACTGATAGTAGTGGTGGTGATGATGACGGTGGTGATAGTGGTGGTGGTGATGATGATCATGATGATTGTGATGATGGTGATGATACTAATGATAATGACGATACTGATGACGATGATAGTAGTGGTGGTGATGATGGTGATAATGATTGTGATGATGGTGATGGTGATGATGATGATGATTGAGATGATGGTGATGGTGATGATGATGATGATGATGATGATAATGGTGATGAGGCTGGTGGAGTCAGGGGCTTGATGGGAGAGAGCTGGGCAAGCTCCGTACTGTGATTACCACCAGAGAAGGATATACTGTGTATTAAAACAGAAATATGTTTCATAATAATTATTATTAGTGCTATTGACAATGAGAATGATGATAATGGTATTGATGGTGGTGGTTATGATACTAGTGTTAATGATGATACTGATGATAATGATGATGATGGTAGTAATGGTGATGATGATGGTAGTAGTGGTGGTGATGATGGTAGTAGTGGTGGTGGTGGTGGTGGTGGTGGTGGTGGTGGTGGTGATGATGATGATGACGATGATGGTAGTAGTGGTGATGATGATGGTAGTAGTGGTGGTGGTGGTGGTGGTGGTGGTGATGATGGTAATGATGATAATGGTAGTAGTGGTGGTGATGATGGTAGTAGTGGTGGTGGTAGTGGCGATGACGATGGCAAGATGATGATGGTAATGGTGGTGATGAGGATGGTAATGTTGGTGATGATGATAATACTAATGGAAAAGATGATACTGATGATGCTGATGATGATGATGGTAGTAGTGGCAGTGATGATGATTGCGGTGATGATGATGGTAATGGTGGTGGTGATGATGATGATAATGGTGGTGGAGCCAGCTAGCTCTGGAATGTGATTTCCAAATGAAAGATTTGAGATGTAATTTCCAAAAGATGGCGTGAAATGAAAGGAGTCAAGGAAAGGAAAAGAAAGAGTGTTAGAGATTGAGAAGGTTGTGAGCAAATCACAACAATTAAAGAGTGAAAAATGAAGAAAGTAATGAAGTCTGTAAAGAACTGTTAGTAGTCCTCTGTGGAGTAGTTCTGAAAAGATTTTCTCTTTCACAAAAGGAGTTTACCTGAGTTTCTTTTTGTTGATTTCTGAGAACCTAGGAATGTCTCTCTTCTCACTCTCACCCTCCTTACAGGTCTCTAAAGCACCCCTTCCACCTACTGGGCTGGTCAAAGATCTGTCAATCAGAGCAGCATTGGCCAATGAGGCAAACCGGTTCCGCCCATCCTAATGAATATTCAAAGGAGAGAGAGAGAGAGAGTAAGAGATGAGCAATGCGACCTAGAGAGTTATAAAGTTGGAGTTAACTGTGAAGGTTGACAACCGACATACACAGAATAATAATAATAATATATAAGAAGAAGAACATTGATTATTTAGGAGCGCTAAAACAAGAAGCCTCATAGCGCTAATAAAATCACAGAATTCAAAGAAAAACATGAAATACATAGACTCATAAATACACATACATATCACATGATATTACTGAGGTATGTTTTGAAGGGATCATGTCAAAGTGGCCAAAAAATACTTGTATATAAATAAATAATGAAATGTATGTAACTATGTAAATCAAGACCCAAAGTACAGTATGGTCGCTCGTCAGTGTGAAAATGACTAATTAATACATTTAAAATGCAATCAATGTTGGGCCACAAAACTCCCCATGTTTGGTAAACAATAATGAAAATAATGGTTAAAAAATAACAATCAACATCACTACCACATACATGTACTGCACAGAAACAAGGAACAAATACCACAAAACAAATAAGAACGTAGAACTGAATACAAGGTATGCATTCAGAGTGAGAGTATATTAATAGTGTGATAATGATGACAAACAATTAAAAGTATAACTTCTTCTGATAAAAATACCTTTACTGTCAATGAAACCATCATAATGGGTTTGTAAAGTAAGTTTAATTATATACAGCCAAAATGACATTTACTTTAAGTACATGTAAACTCCCACAAAAATTAACAATTTAAAGATAAAACAAAGGAAAAATGAAGGGAAAATGGACTTATTCCACCTATCAAACAAATTTTCATAAATTTGTCATCTTCATTTCTAAAGATAAGATAAAATATAAAAGAAAATAAGATTAAGCATGTAAATTAATTGTTTCAAAGTACTGTACATTTCTAAAGATAAGACAAAATATAAAAGAAAATAAGATTAATATAAGCATGCAAATTATTGTTTCAAAGTATTTTCTAGTCATCTTGTAAAGATAGTGTACCCAGCATGAAAATATACACATAACCACCAAATTACAATCATGCTACTAAGTACACTTACCCCCTGAAAAAATTGAATGGTCTTACGAGTGATAGCCACTGGCACACTTTGTGCACGATTGTGGTTCTTTGCCAGGGACTGTTCCATTCAGTTTTAGGGAAGAATGGGTCATTGTTTTTTATGAATATTGTGATAAAAAATTCATCATTGGTACAAATAACAGAATACAACATGTAACAGAAATCAAGTAGCCAAGTTACAACTATGTTTGAACAGAGTATAATATTAATATTTCAGAATTGTTTTCTGCTTTTGTTTCAGAATGGAACCTTAACGTAAAATTCTAGGCTTAATCTAAAATACCAATTAAAAAGAGAGATAAAAAATAAGTTGGTTTAAACCCTATTTTGTTTGCCATTAGACTATACTACAGTTGACAATGGAAAATACCCTTTAAATACTCATTTAGAACTTCCTTCAAAACAAAAGGGCTTGAACATGGCTATGAGTGGGAAAATAACAACCATTAGTTGTCGAATCAACTTAAGTGATTGCAATCACCCAAGTAATAGTCTGATTTTCAGACCCTTTTCCTAAATGGTCGTACGTTTTGTGCTGCACAAAGATTCAATCCGTATAATTTTGGCCATTACAAGTAGTGGGTTATTGATGTAGACAAATGCTCATATGTACCTGTTACAGCTCATTTTATGTATGTTATTACCAAAGAAAAAAAATATATCAGTCAGTCACTCAATAGTGTCTGACAGTGAAGTCTAGAAGGGTCTTCTTGCATAATTTGAATACTAGGACACTGCTAATGTATAAATTTCACAGATAGGACATACATGACATATTTATAATTCCTGCAAATTTCTACAGAATCTGATGTTGGCTGCAAAAGGGACATATATTGTACATGTTGTATCTTAAATATGCACATGAATTCATTTTACAAAATTACAAAACCCTCTAAAGTGTCATTCCATCCATAACCCTTGGAATTGACCATTGTAAAACTCAATTTAAAGGCCAAGTCAACTCAAAAAATAATTTAAGTCACAAAATGAAAACCAAATTGGCAATTTGTGTAGTGGTTTCAATTGTTCTATAGTTTTACAAACTTTTTCAAAAATTCAAGAATTTCTTTTTAGTTATACGATTTTGCTCAAACTTTTTTTGATTGGTTTGTCCAATTTGTCTGCTTCTATTGAAAGTAAGTTATTTTTGGAGTGGACTTGTACTTTAATGCCCTTCTGGCTCTCAGCGGACCTGAAAGGTTTCTATTGTAAATACAATGCGACTAATTAATAACAAGGGCTACTTACAGAGGCACCGAGGGGAGAGTTTCCGAAGCCTAGCACAGCCGCTACACTTGCCCTGCGCTTAGACTAGACACAGATGAGAGAGAGTGAGAGAAAAAAACTGTCAAAATAGCTGAAAATTATTAGTTTTACAAACTGTAATACACAAATCAGGGATTTGTATAGAGTACAGGGAATAGAGGAGAAAGGGGAGGGGGGGGGGGGGGTGACCACTTTTATAAAAAAAAAAATACATTGCATGCAATCCACTTTTTATCACTTTTATTTTAATAATCTTTATTGGAAGAATCAGGATGGGGAGGGGGGGGGGGCTCCTACATGTTTAGGCGTCTCAGGATTTTATCTGTTTCTTCACATTTCTTTAATACACTCTTCAGCTGAATAGATTGAACACTTCTTATTCAATACTCAAAAAGGGATGGAATTATAAAAGTGACTTTTCACAAATACATTCAATGAAATGTACATTTGTATCCCCCTTGTTAGCTGATAAAGTGTGTACCAAAGATATCCACCCCCCCCCCCTTTTTTTTTAAATTCAGAAATCAGAAATTGTGGTTGGAAAATATGCATTACCATTATATATGGCTTACCAGAGAAATATTGGCTACATCAATATTTAAATTTAGCAATACAAATAAGAGACTATATACTTTGCTTATAAAGCAAAGAGATTTATTATTCTAATGAGCTTTTATTCTGTGCAGCCTGCATTTCATTTTCATGAACATTCCAAATTTAATGGATACATACAAGCTTTGGTTGTTTCACTATTGCATTGAAAAGCGTTTAAAGCATTTTTAATCTACAAAGGGAAACCACTCTGTTAGCACTGCAAGTACTCACATGTGCAAAAGAATTTCACTCACTCACTACTAAAACAACAGCATTTTAGTGAAGTTTTAAAGTCTATTTTCATTAATAGTTCCAACTAACATCTTTTTAGAACAAAATGCTTAAAACATAGCAAACAAAGTAATCTACAGCAATCAACGCTTGCATCAACACAATCAAAATATTGTACATTACATTCTTGTTATGTAATGTTTAATTCAAACATTCCTACGTATACAAAGGAACAACAAACTCTGTTGTTTCGAAATTTCTGTAGATTCATACCCACCTACCTTTCACAGCAGAATTTAGGAATCTCTCGTGGCAAAATTAGGGTTTTTTTGTAAACTTTTTGGACAGGAATTTCGTGAAAAAGAGAGGAATCCAGGGGTCATAACATAAATTTGAAGACCAGGGGGGCGTTTCACAAAACTTGTCACTAGTGACAAATGACAGTTTTTTGTTATACACTGTAAGCTACTGAAATCCTTGCTTATGATTGTGTATCAGCAGATTTGTCATTGATTTTGTCATCTGTCATTGAAAAAAGGCTTTGTGAAACGGGTCCCATAAGGTAGGAAGCATTCCTCCATAATAGGAATTACATGAACATGATAACATAATTATTTCCGGAACAGGAATGGCAGATTCAATATAAGAGCAATGGAGATTAAATGTTTAGCATGATAATATATTCCTTTTGAAAATGTACATTAAATACATTTGCAACAGAAACTTACTGTAGCAACATTTGAATACATAATTTTGTTTTAAATCTTATTTTCTTTATTTTGCACGTAATAATCCCAAACTATAAAATGTCAGAGCAAAAGATGCGATAACCAAGTCAAACCTAAAAAAGGCGATAAATAAATATTTAAATTTTTTTTAAAAAGGAGATAAATCCTATTCGAATAAATCCACTTTAAACAGACAAGTTGAACATGAAAATAAGAACTGATCTAAAATGGGATGTTGCAAAGGGGGTGTGGATTAGCAGCGGATGTATAATAATATTATATCGTGAGGTTTGGTATGATGATACTAAAATTCTAAAAGGATGTTGAAGCGATAACTATGTAAAGACGTTTTAAAT